TAATGAGAAAAAAAATTAAATTGGAACGATTGTAGTATCAGGCTGCAACATAACAAAATTGAAAAAAGTGAAGGGGGTCTGAATACTTTCGGAATGTACTGTACATTTCTTTCAGGGAAATGACATGTATGCATTCATGAAGTATATCCCCAGTAGATTCCACTGTACAGACATAACCCACATTTGAGGTATAAATGAAACATGAGCCAAAGAAGACTCATATGCTTTCAATGAAGGATATTCTTCTTGCTTATTCATAAATGAAGGCATGAATCAAGAAGGATTTAAAAAAAGATGATTAACATCTCTGATCAGCTCTGTTGGGCAATCAAACAGTGGTTTGAGTTTTGTTTTGTTTTTTAAACTTGAATGGAGATTTATTGAAGCTGCTAAGTAAAATTTTGTATAGAGGAAGAGAGGGGTCTTTTCTGTGTAATGTGTTGTTTTCTGCATGTAGATTAATGTGTGTTGTTTGACTGAATATTTCACTATTTATCTCAGTGATTAATTGGTCTGTGGAAGTATCTCCAGGTGAATATATGAGAATGCATATTACCACCCTATTGTAGATAGTGCAAGGTGTCTCTTCTGCTTTGGTAATATTTTCATGTAATTATAGTTTCCTAGGGAAATAACTATTGCACGTTGTTCCCCAAATCCTGTGATCTATGAAACTGGAGCATGCAGAGACAAAGGATTAATAAAATAATGCAAATAGAAATTTCAGTAAATGAAGCTAAATATGAATATTTAAAGAACATTGTGAAGTCATATTTTGCACAATCTGCCTCTTTACATGTTGTAAAGGGTTTTGCTGGAAAGATCCAGAGAGGATGACAATCAATACCAATTCTTGAAGGTACTTGGCAGCCATAGTGTTCCTCATCTCTTCTTCCTAGTCTTCCAATGTGAGCCCAGGGGCTGTATTTTCATTCTCTATTGTTTATTCCTGCTCTGTGTCTCCAAGTCACATAAAATAAAGACCTGTTTGTCAAGAAGTAGAATGTTGCATCCACATCTTTAGAGCAATGAAAATATAGATAGTCCTAGGGTTACAATGGCAATTGGGACCTGGATTATCATTGCTAAGTGATGTGGTCGTAAAGTACGACATCACGTGACCGCATCACTTAGCAATGGCAATCCCAGCAATCCCAGTTGCTGTTGTAACCCCAGGATGTGCTGGTCATTAAGTGGGAAGAGGTGGGAGTCCCAGCGGGCAGGCGCTAGGGAGCACAGGCAGGGCCACAGGGCTGCAGGTGGGCCGGCAAAGATCTTGGGTGGGTCAGCTGAGGCCATGGGAGGATTGGTAGAGACTGCGGGAGGGCAGGGGGTGCTGCAGGCAGGCACGCTATGGATTGTGGGCAAGTGGGAGGTGCTACAAAGCATCTCTGTACTCCTCTACACCTGGAATGTTAAGATCTTGGATTTATTCTGCATTAGGGGTTGGAGACTAGGCAGGTAGAACAGTATTGTGCCAGCTATGAGCCCCGCTGAAATTGGGGTCTAGCAAGAGGGGTAAGGAATATGGAGGGGGGGGAAGTGATGAACATTTTTGATCCTGATTACTTCCTGATTATTTAAGGAGCCTTGGGAGATGAAATGACAGAAGAGAGGCCTAGAGTGTTGTTCAAGAAGGATGAAGAGTGAATCTGTAGGGATTATATTGTGGTGATAAGAGTGACCCTGTTTAAAGTGACCTGTTCCCTGTTGAGGGAAGGGCCACAAGAACACTTATAGGGCAGCTGTAAGGAATATTCTAGGCATTTGTTGAGTAAAATTGCTTGGATCCGCTGGGCAAGTCCAGTCAATTTGACTGAGCATGATCTTGTTCTATTATCTAGGAAGTTTTTGATCCTATGATTCCTGAGAATGACCTAAATGGTCCTTTACAGTTCTAGGGTTTTATGTAGAGGTTACTCAATGTAAAACAGCTAAAAGATTTGTAGAGCTGCTGCTGCTGGTTGATGTTAGATAAAAGAACAGTGAGTACAATTTTATTGAAATGAATGTCTTATACATTATTGTCTATTTCATTGTGTTTGCTACTGTGGTTATACAATTGTGTGCTTTCTACTGCAAGCTACATTTAGTCTTAGAGAGGTGGAGTGCAAGCATTTTTGTAATAAATAAATGCCTTACCTGAACTTACAAAGTACTTTCAAGTAGCAGCTTCACACATATACACACACTGTGTACCAAAAGTCAGGCCCCATTTATTTATTATATAAATTACATTAAATGTTTGAATTGGTTGTCATTTTCTTCTAAACACTTCCTTATTTGTTTGATGCATGACCTTGGAACATTCCTAAGTACAGTAACATTTTTTTCTGAAAAAAATATTAATTAGCAAAAATAGTAAAACATATTGTGATTGGCCTATGGGGACTGATTTTTGGTACACCATATATACGTATACATATCCATATCCATATGATGAGCTGACTTCAAAAGGCCTACTTTTTATTTATTTATTTATTTTAATCTGTG